TATATGTATAATATCATACAAAATCAACAAAGTACCATAACATCATTAGTTTTGGATGTGGCTTTTGATTTTTTTAAATCACTTCACGTATGATGCATTCATGACATTATGCATTGATAACCAGAACATTCAGGAGCATTGATATTATTTGATTTTGAAAAATTTTTTATTGAACTATATTATGCCTATTTCGGCATTCTGATTTACTGTAAAAACTCGTTCGGTTTTTGTAAAAAGGGGAGGAAAGAAAAGATATATACATTCATTATTGCCTTGTAATGTTGAATTCTAAAGTAACATCACTTATATACTCACAGCTGGTTGTACACAATCGCTAAACGTAAATTAGCAGTGTATAAAGGCAAAATATAATGGCAGATTTATTGGATTGACAATAAAACGTTATGTAACGTATTCACCGTGGGTTTGAAGGGAGGAAAGTAGTAAGTATACGGTAAAGCCGTAGTACGGGCAAACTTTACAGCGCCGTTATTACAAAATCTACATCAACTATATACATCTGTACATTCGCAACTAGCAGCGGAGCATCGTTTCTATTTGTTGTATAATCTGCATCAAAACAATGCCCTGCGTAAGACATTGTCCGAGAGCTCGATATGTCTTCACCAGTATTCGTCATGATTGCGAACATTGAAAAAAGAAATACGTGAGTGTTAAGAAGTAGAATTATTGATTAAGACATATAAGTCATTATTACGCAGCAATATGCTCTTGAACACATTATTATCGTGTATGTAAGAAAAAATGTCAACTGTGTACAAGATGAGTCACAAGAAGCAGAATACCCAAATAGTTAGATTCGAGGATAAAAGAGAGTACAATCATATATTTATGTATTAATTTTATTCAAGTGTCTTGGTACTGCATGTCATTTCGCCTGCTTAGAAAGTATATACATAACCGTAGTGATAAATAAAATAAAAAGTCAGGGCAATTGTATGTTATTCGTGGAAACACTAAAAAAAGGGACTGACGATCTTCAAATGCTCTTGAAGGTGACTTGTGGCAGAAAATCTTGTTCACATTTGTTTTTCTGATAAGCAATATAATTCTTCTGTTCAATACTTTCTTCTATCTTCTAATTTCACAAAGATATTTAGGTGTGCTTGTCTCTTATGACTCATACTGTTCGAGTTTCTATTGCAAGATACAAATGTGTGTTTCCTTAAGGACGCGATAGGAAAGCTAGACGAAAGGGGAAAAAGGGGAAGTTGTGAAAGAAGGTGCGAATGATATTATCGATGCGTTACCATTGAATGAACCGTTCCAAGCGATGTATGCGAGAATGCCGTCTAATTCAGCCTTTGGTCTTAGTACGTCCCAAAGAATAACGTGTTCAATTAAATCGTAGCTCCGTGTTTGTGTCCTCAGATCTTGCGTCACGTGGAATCCCTGAAATCAAACACAAAGGATCGCGTCTATCTCTACTTTCAACAATTATATCTGGTAATTTCCTAACAACGTATTACACATGGTGTATATATTACTATCTGTATTATTTTATCTTGATTATTATAATTCTGTTACTGTTATATCGCTATTAAGTTATCAATATTATATTATATTATATTATATTATGTTATATTATATTATATTATATTATATTATATTATATTATATTATATTAATATTAATATTATATTAATATTATTAGTATTGTAGTTTCTATGTAAGCACGCGCGCTGTCAATATCATTTACCAGTGAATAAGAAATGAGTGTGTACTATATATAATATCATACTATATTTTCTTTTTTCAAATGTCGTATTAGTAATGCGCTTTATACTGCCGCTATTGTGTTCGAAAAGTACTATGTGTATATGCATATAATGGCGGGTACACGTGAACACATGCGCGAGCATCGATAATACGTGACAGAAACAATGATCATCCGAAGAAGTAAAGTGGCTTGTTGTTGTGTTTAATTTGAATAACGCAAACAGATGTTTTTGTCCAACGGGTTGAAATTAGATTAACTTGTTTACTCGTCAAAGTGTATAATATATTATTTTCTTGAACTCCATGGTACATTACCTACTTAATTTCTGAAGATAAGACCAAAATTTGGTATTATTAGGTGATTCCATAAATCATTTTATGATAGTTAATTTTAACCCTGGATACATACACGTGTGTGTTTTGTAATTTATTTGACGCCCTGGAGTCTAGTAAGTCCTAATTTCTTGTTAACAAGAATGTATATCTAAAGAATAAAGTCTTAGAAATATTGTCCCCGATTGTTATTGATATTTGTGAGTATATTGAAATATAACACAAAAATATGATAACAAAATATATGTCAGGTACATGGAATTTCTATCGTCTTTATTTTTTTTTCTAGTGTTTGAGTAAAGTTTTTGTACGGAACGTATATTTCATGAAATCATAGTGTGCATAGGGTAAACTTCCAGGGTGAAATTGAAAAAAAAATTAATATCTGCAATTTTATTCGATCACGAATCTATCGATACCTTTCTTGTGTATAACTATATAGCATATTACATTTGAAATGATATTGCTTATGAAATTACCCGATATTTATACGTATTTTAACAATATATGATGTTACTACACGCTTCACAATTGTAATTGAAGATGGAATTTGTTGAATTTCTCTTAGAGCGATCATTAGCATTATGTTTGACATGATAATTTCTAGAAACAAATAAATGCTTTATTTGTGAGACAGTATGCGAATTCCTGCAGCAAATCGAAGTATACAGGTACACAGAGATACTGGTTAATGTGTTTCGGTAGCGTTAGAAGTTGCAATTGCGGGACATTTATTCTATGCATACGTAACACTTCAAAGACGAAGGGAGTATAAAGGACGAGGCACTAATTTCGGTTCACCGTAATTATATCTACCTGTTATTTTCAGAGATGTGAGAAAACTATTCGAAAAAGTTGTGCGATATCGAGGGGCTTATTATAATACATTAGTAGCAACTTACCTGTCACTGGAGCATTTCTGGAAATTTCAAAATCACCCGGCTGTTTGTTTAAATAACGTGCTACAATTTCTTACCCTTATTAGAATAATGGATGCTCGCGCAATTTCAACGATCGCTGACGCAAGATCGTTAAAAGTGAAACATATATAGAAATATATAAAACAACGGTTACTGTGTTATAAGAGTCAACTGTTGAGTACCTTGTGTAACGTAAGAATTATTCCTTTATATCTTTATTTAACGTCAATTGACCTTGTATTAAAATCGTTCGAATCATTTAAATTTCCGCCGTTCTCCCCCGAAGACAAGGAGACTTTAGTAAAGACTTTAGATAGAAATCTTCCAAAAACCTTTATAATCCCCTTGATGACGTGCGACTTTTACGAAAAGTTTTTATGTAACCCTAGAAAACATGAAAATAGTTAAGGCGATTAAAACTATTCACCTTCACCTTGTATAAATATCTATAATCTATAATAAGAAAGTAATGTTTCTCAAAATAATTATAGTTTAATTTAAATGTTGTATTCGTACATGAAGAAAATTTAGGATTTCTGTTGTTTTTAAAAAAGCTTTATAATTTTAATCTTGCCAGTTTAAAAGATTAACTATTGCTTGTTCATGAAAAATAAAAGCAACAAACTTGTCCGTTAAGCTGTAGGCGACCCGCAGTAAGAAATGTATGACAGTAATAAAGAATTGCGATGTTATTTACATTATCGTTGCGATACAAAATTTAATAGAACTGTAGTTATTAATGTACAGGTGTATAACATGGACGAAAATATCATTCAGAAAGTTTCTTTCGTATATTATTCGTTTTTTTAAACGAATTATGGGAAACTTTCATTCATTTATATTATTTCAATATTTTCGCTGAAACATTTGTTCACATTCGGTATCACCCATGCGATAGAAACGTTACATAGAATATTATTATTTTATGTTATATAATATTTATTTGTATCTTTTCTTATATGTAATTGTATCGAAATGTAATTTGTCCCTGTCACGATATCGTTAACCATTGAAAACAATTTCTTTTTGTTTATTCGTGCCCTGTATTGTGAAATATAAGTTCAATTTAATTCCATGTTCATTTTTTTTGTCATTTTTTTATTCTCGTTATTGATTTCGGATTTCAAAACTTGTAAATATCACATAATATCGAAAATTTCGAAACATTTGTAAAACGTTGATAATAATAATGGCACTGTTAAGAAATGATGTAGTCGTGTTCGAGAGAAGTCCGAAGTGACGGTTTATCCGTAATCGAAATTGCTACATATTATTGTTAGTACACAGATCACGTGTTTTCGAATAACACATGATAATAGAGTCGGACCTAGGAACTACATGTTTAATTCGTTATTATATTTATTTTAATTCTACGACGTTCACATTTACTTTTGCACTTTATGCAAAACCTGAATGATTTTTACCGTTTCAACTTTATGCCGTTCAACTGTAAGCGGCATGAATCAGTCGAATATTCTGTACAACGTACATACCTAAGTAGGGGTACTGTATAAGTACCTACGTTTTGTATATTGTATTGTTGAGGAATTGATTATTTATTATTATACAACATTGACAATGGTAGTTAGAAATAATCGGTTCGTAACTCTTCATAACTAAGTTAAAGTTGTTACTGAAAAGGTTTATGGAAATATATGGTATTTATGGAAATCATGTTAATCATCATTTGAAATAATACGTTAGTTCGGATTGATCTGTTTCACCGTGGTGTGTATAAGTCGACAAAGTCTGTACTTTACAGAGGTTCAAAGTTGAAACAGCTCCAAATGTAACTGTTAATAAATGTTATGTAAAGGTTTCGACTAAAGTGGTTATGTAAAACGGAAATAATGTTACAACTGTTACAAGTAGAAACGGTTCTGACCTATATCGATTATGGTTTCGATTATGGTTTCAGAATTTTTTAAAATATATCAGTTCGCCTTTTAATCTGTCTTGTGCAGATTCTATAGAAACCTAAGAAGCTCGATATTATTATTACAAAATATTATATTTGTAAACATACTTTTTATGAAGAATTAGTCTGAAGATATGTATACACTGAAAAGAATTATGTATGTATTACAATCTGTTTTTCGAATGAAGATGACGTATTCGTCGCGTATAATAACTGTTCACCCCACCATAATCATTTCTGACTGATAACATTTGATTATTCGAAACGGGGTAAATAGTTATTGTGATTGTCGACGTATTTTCGATTTCTTCTTTTCAGAAATATACCATAGTATTTAAAACTTGAAAAATATGCATTAATACAAATATAATTTTTCAAGCAATAAAATATTTTGCTTTTTTTTGTATGTAAAAATCTTGATATGTGTATACCTGGCAATGGTTTTAAGTAACGATGATTCACTAATTCTCCTAGGCAACAACAAACATGGAAAATCGAATGTAACGATATTTTCTTTAACCAGATGATACTTAGAAAATCACACCCGTACTGATCCACTCTATTATTTAAAAACTGTTAATGTTCGTCAATCTAAATAATTATTAAATGGTTACCGTGGAAGTTGAACTAGACACGTAGTAAATTGTCAATAGTAAATTCTTAGAGTGAAATTGCCCAATTAATTCAACTGGCTATTAATGAAGTTAATAAAAAAAAGAAAAGTATTTATCAATATAATATTTTTAATCAAAGTATGTTGAAAATAAAAACGATATTTAAAATAAATATTGGAACCGTAATCGATGTCTTCGCCAATTTCTATTCTTTACAGCTATAACAGAAAATGACAGTTGAAAACCAGACACAACGTCATAGTAATATAACTCGAATCCCTCATGTTCAACCTATCGTATCGTCCGATTTTACAAATCGAATAAGTATGAGTATTTTTATGTAAATACATATATACATGCGTACGGAAGTAATTGTAATGTACTTGCAATGAATATAGTTTATAAAGTTTCATGGCGGTGATCCGAATCTAAATGATCAATGACGTCGCGATGATGATGTAAAGGAAATTACTACTAAAAATGTATGGCAATACTATATGTAACTAAAATATCACGGACGCACTTTAGGTATATATATATATATATATATGTCGCAATTTTTCAATCGTTTACATAAATTTAGTACAGCTTCGAAGCTTGATGTACAGGTATCGCATTATCGAAAAATTGATATTATTATTATTATTATTGTTATTACTTTCCTACTAACCCAATGAAAAATTCACGGGTTCTGGTTTTGTATAAACACGTGTACGTGTAATTAGAAAATTGAGAAACTCGATGGTGTTGTAGCGATGTTCCGATAAGCGTTAAACCGCTGCCTTATCGCAGTGGTAATTATAAAAGGTAAATTGCAAATTAGCTGTACTCTCTCTGCATGTAATTATCGAGCTGCGAAAAGAACGAAATGAGTTCTGCGATACTAGCGAAGCAGCAGTGTTGGGCACAATTTTATTCGGGTAATAAACAATAATTATTTTATTCTTTGAGAGTGATACATATCTGATTGAACATTGGATAGAGTTACTTTATCCGAAAAAAGTTTTGTTCGATTCTGTCTTATAAAGCTTCTTCGTTATTATAAGCCATACAAGTTCTACATAATAACCTTTCCCAGAATTTGTTTACGCGTGAGTCGCATTTTCTCTAAAGGTATCATGTTCCTTCTATGTTGCCTTATAATCATTTCACTCTATATACTTTTGCTCAACATACTACACACACGTGTGCACTATCGGTCAAACATATCAGATCAGAGTATAGGGTATTCAGTTTATTAATAAAGGAAGAAAATGTTATTTTCGAAACATTCAACGGATCATTTTACAAAACTCCATGGTATCGTGTAAAATAATATTATTCTCATTCATTAATCGTGAACTCTGATCTGGTAGTTTTAATCGGTAACGAACACGTGTAAGTACATAAATTTCTTTATTATAGAAAGCGTAAGAATGATAAATAAGTTAATTCTTGTGCTACAACGATTTCTAGGTCAATTGCGATTTAATTGTTTGAGATTAGAGTTGCCAGCTTTTCATACATATATATACATATATTATTAGGAAAATGAGAAACTTGTAAAAGGCAGCAAATTGTAACAGTATTTCTGAAATATTTTTTCGAAAATTCGGCCAAGCAGGTAACATTTCATAAATGATATTCTTATGAAATATCACTGTATTATAAGAGTGTCGATAAAAAGGTAAAGAAATGGCCGACTGAACTGAAAATGGGAAGTTATCCAGAGTCTCCCGCCAAACACTGAAAAGGTGGCAACCCTATTTGTTACACACTGTTGTGTACACTCTAAATATTCCTATACGTTCGCTGCGTATAACAGAGGTGTCTAACTGACTCCCTTCACGCTAGTAACTCGGGACAGCGTTCCTCCACCACCACTACTCAAAGAGCTGCCCGAAATTGCGTATGCGAGCAGTTCTATGCAATGTTCAATACAATAAGTAAAAGTTGGTAGGGAGAGGGTAACTTTTTGTGAGGGGAGTGTCACTAGAGTGCCCGCGCGGGCACCGATTTCTACACCCTTGAAATAGCTGGTAACGACGATCACTTTACAAAGTGTCTTGTTGAAGCTTGTTGAAGCTCATATTGCAAACGGCTATACGCCTATACTAACTATACGATTTTCGAGACGATGTAATTAATCATTTTTCAACGGCGCATTCGAGACTTGAATATTTCATGAATATACAAATAACTGGCATTTTTATAACGGCACAAAAATGTTTATGCATTCTTATGTGTTCTTATATGTAAAATATCTTAGGTGCTATGTACATATCATTGCCGATTTTTCAACTAATTTCATGCCATGTCAATTTATGATAACCGATTGTCAGTTTTGTCTCTTTGCCAGCATAAAATATTTTCCTTCGTAATTTGTGTTTGTATTTGAAAAATTTAATGAGGAATATTCAAATATCGAATCGACAGTTTCAAATTGAATGCATGCTTAAGCCTGCCCCCGCCTTTCTCATCTCGATGAAATAGGGAGTTTATAATGTGTTTTGTTAAACTTGGCTAGACAGCCACGAAACACAGACATTTATATTGTTCCGATGTTACAAGTTCTTATAGAGAAATACATATATAGCAAATTGTTGTTTTACCATAGTACAACCCCGTGTATATAAATTTAAATATACGAAAATCTGATTCATGTTGTGTAAGTACCTACATTAACCTATGAACCATCGTATTCGTTATCCCTTCCCAATGTTTAATCCTCTGATCGGAAAAAGATCTAAAGTAAGATTTGATTTTCCTTCATTCGCACTTTCGGTTACAACTTCATCGTTCAAAACAGACTTGCACTTTGAAACTATCGAAAGATAGTATAGAGTAATACATCTATATCAGAATTATAAACAAGATGAAGAAACGAATGACAATCGTTTTTTCTTTACGTTGTTATACAATACAAACCTGGAGAATATTATATTCATGTACACTTGTAATCTTGTTACATTTCAGAAATGTTTTTTCGTCATATATATTTTTTCAAGGAATCTCCAAATATTTAATAATCGCTCCATACCACGACGTATACCTTCTGTGATCGCTCTATTCTATGCAAAAATTTTCAAAGTTATGCTTTTATACTTGCGACCTGTTCACCGCGAGATGTCATCGTTGTGAAAACACAATTGCACCTGCTGGTCATACTGGTTTTGATGTTAAATAAGGATGACATTATTGGCAATACAAAAAATGTCGACGGCATACTAAATTTGATCAATCTACCTACGATTGAACAAAGAACAAGATTTTATTTTAAACTGTACAAACATATTGTTTAAGTACTTCACATATACCACCTGGGCATTACTATTTACATGGTGTACATATAAGAATTAGAATATTATTAATCAATGTAAAAAATATAAAAGTTATTACCAAGTTAAACAACGAATATAATATTTAAATAATTTAAAATTCTAACATATTCGTAACTATTTTTTTTGGTTATATACTGACATACGTATTATTGCGACGAATCGTATTTTTTTGCCAAACGCCTTAAATAGCCGCCTCTTTTAAATGTAGTATACATTTTCTATTGTGATCGTTGTATCGTTGCGCATTTCGAGATGAGAACGTATAGAAATGTGTACTGATCGCATTTAAAAAATCTGTCATGTCTTTAAGTATACGATAGAATGTCGTATAAATGAGACACTTTTTGGTACGTAATCAAAGAACATAATTTTATAAAACAGATAGTTTTGTGAAAGAAACACTTGGAATTTGTACAGCAGCTGATGCATGTAAAGATGGCCAAGCTCAATACAAACAAATAGTGACCAGCGACGTGCTGGTTTTACAACTAGCTCTGCATATAAAAGGTGAGTGAATTTAATTCGTATATAATATTAAATAATCATTTCTTTTCTAGATTATTTTTATCTATTTTTTTTCGAATACTTTGAATTTCAATCTGTATTAATCGGTGTGCGGACACCTGTCCTGACCTGCTCAATAAGGTCTCCCATTTACGTCGAATTTATAACATAATTTATATTCGTTTTCCGTGCATATTTTTCTTTATTAACATTTCTATTCGATTTGATGTATCATTATCCTTTTTTGTTAAAATTTATCTGATAAATGATAAATTTTAAAACATATTAGTTCCAAATGTAACATAAAAAAGTGGAAAGCTAATATATTGTAAAAAATGTTTTTGAAAAATCTTCTTTATTCTTCTTAAAACAGTTTTTCTTATACGTGCTTGCATAGATTTTAGTCACAATTTATGACTATCATGATTTATTATTGTTTCAATTACTTTGTATTCCTATTATGAATATTTTTTTATAGACAGATGCTAAAGAGATTTTAATTAATGGTCTCTTAAAAATGGCTTATGATCCACGTGATATAAAATATTCATCTGAGATTCATAGTCATCAACACAATCAACCCAATATGACTGGGTATACATATTCTGGGCATCCTTCGCATCATGTCCAACAAACAGATGAAAACAGAAATGAGAATACTTGTGGAAATAAAGAAGCATGTCCACAGATAACACGCCAGTCTTCTGGAACACAGACCACTCAAAAAGTGGACGCAGCAACAATGACAGATCCTTTACAAATAGATTTTAAACTTACGTCTGAATATTTAGCACGTTGTTCTAATACATTAGGACTACCATATGTAAGTAAATATGAAGAACACGCAAATAACTCGACTCACAATTGTCAAGAAGTACGGCCAAAAATCGAATATGAAGTTGAACCACAACATATCAATGGTAAATGCATATATAAAATGTAATATAGATTATTACTATACTAGATTCTAGAGTAGTTTGTCTAAAATTTTATATATTGTAAATGTTTCAGGTACTTTAGTCTATCATTGCCCAGAGTGTGCATACCGATTTGAAGATCAAGATGCGTTACACGAACATCTTGAGGACCATAGACAGCGACCTTATATCTGTGATATTTGTGGTGCAAGTTTAAAGCGCAAGGAACATTTAGATCGCCATAAACAAGGTCACAATAAAGATAGGCCTTATCAGTGTAGTATGTGTTGTAAAGCATTTAAACGAAATGAGCATCTCGCTCGTCACATGATTATACACTCAGGTAGCAAAAATCAAGTTTGTACAGAATGTGGCAAAGCTTTTTATAGAAAGGATCATTTGAAAAAACACTTACAAAGCCATAATAGTAGCAGAAGCAAAAATCCAAACAGTTCTCAAAATAATCAGAATAGTCAAAATAATGGTGACGAAGGATTGAGTAATTTTGCAATGACAATGAGGCAGGCTGGGCCACCTCCATTTTCTATTTTGCGAACTTAATACATTTTTACCCTGATCTTATGCTAAGATCATTTTAGAATTTAGGCAATTTAAATGTAAGAGATTGATACAATGAGCTTTGTTGGATACATTTTCAGGAAATATTGAATAATTGTTGACAGTTTCGAATTTTGCAGTTAATTAGTCATCAAATATTACCTGCAAATAGTGTATAATATAAAACAGGCTCTAAGGTATCCATGCAGATTTTATATTTCTCTTTTGAATACGCTTCTAACATGCACAATGTTCTTGAAGTACCTGTTGAGAACAATTCTTCAGATCTAGATTTATTAAATTATTTTTCCCAGGTTTTGTATTTTCGATAATATTTAACAAGAATTAAGGCAATAAGGAAAGGAAAAATTAAATATGAATTGATCTACTTTCTTTTGAGAAAGATGTACAACAGTTTTTAAGTATCTTCTTTTGTAGCAAAAAAAGAAAATGATGCAGATATTTTATGATGAAGAGACCAAAATTCTTACTATACCTATAATATATGAAGAAACTGTCTGTTTATTATTATGAATGTAAAAAAGGAGGAGGAAATACATAATTTTTCGTTTCCTGCTAAAATAACGGCATCAACTTCTTGAATAATGTGCCTAAAGAAAAGAACATAATATTTGCACAAAATAGAGAAAATAATTGAAGTTAATAATTCAGCCTCATAGTGACGTACTCTTATTTCTAACAGGAAAGGAACATTGCAAATCGTAATTTTCGAAAGATAATTTGTTTCAAAGAAATGTAGGTTTGTTAGCAATACATCCTTTTTTCAAATAAAATATTATGAGTATACAATGTTGAAAAAATATTGCATGGTTTAGACTGTTTTAAACGGTTAAAAGAACTACTAGGAATCTGTCTGATAAACAGTCTTTGCAGTGTTCCTTCAAACATGGAACTGAGATAGTAATTATTTCTTTAGCAGTAATATGCAGATTATTACCAAGAGATGAATACCGAGAACAAAAATACGTTAACCAATTATTTAATATTTATAGTTTATATGATGCATATGGTTGCGTGTGTTATTGTATATGTGTATATGTACAAAAGTGCGTATAATATATACTACATGTTATCATATTATATATTATATATTATGCGCACATTTACATATAATATTGTTACTTCGATTTTTTCCTTGTATATTATTTATATTTATTAAGAAAACCGACCATATATCGGCTTTATTACGTAATGCTT